TCCCCCCTCTCATCAAGCAGCTCCACACTGGAGAAACCATTTGGAGGGGAGACCCCCCAACAAAATATTAATGATAAAAGTAAAAATCATCTTGCAAAGGGATGGCTTACAGCATTCTTTGCATCAGCGCTGCATGGGAAGAGCAATTGGTTCATTCTGTCTTTCATTTATTCCATCAATGAGTGATGTGTGGAGCCGTGTGTCTGCTTTCTGGGCTCCTGCACGGCCTCTGAGTGGCCTCCCCGCTTCCGCCCTTGCCCCCTACTGTCAGTCCTCCACACAGCAGCCAGAGCGATTCTTTTGAAAGGTTAGATCGTGTTCCCCGCTTGGCTGCTTAAGGCCCTCCTACGTCTCCCCATCTCAGTGCAAAAGCAGAAGTGCTTCCAAGGCCTGCAATACCCTTCATGAACCTTGCCCCAGCAATCCCCGCTGACCGCCCCCCACCTCATCATCTACTACTCTCCTGAGCTCTCGCTCTGTTCCAGAAATACATCAAAATAAGTTCTCACCACAGTGCCTTTGCACTGGCTGTGCCTTCTGCCTGCAACTTTCTTTCCCCAGATATTCCCAGGATTCATTCCATCACCTCATTCAGGCCACCACTCAAATGCCTCATTATCACTGAGTCCTTAGTAAAAGAATATCCCTACGTAAGTCCCTACATAAAAGAATATCCCCACCACCAACTTCCTTATTCCCCTCACTCTGCCTTTTTTTTTTTTTTTTTGCTTTTTTGTTCCTCTCTGCAACATGTATCTGATATAGGATATACTGACTTTTTCAATTTGTTTATTTTGTTGGTCTTTTCCCACTAGAATGTTAGTTTCCTAAGCAAAAACTGTTTCTGTTTTGCTCGGTGGTGTATCCCTCGGAGCTTCGAGAATGTCTAGACTATGGTAGGAACACAGTAAATGTTTGCTGTTGCATGAGTCCAGGCTATGTGCTTCTCATTAGATAACCTGCCATGTAACCTCTCAGACATGGGGAGGAGAAGTAGAAAATAAGGCTGGGGATCCAGTTCATTTAGAGTCTTAGAGGCCTAGGCAAGGTCATTGACCGGGTGTCACGGCTCTGTAGACATAGACCCATGTTCACTGAAACCAAACACGTGGCCCAAGGGTAGTTTCTGGGGGAAATAAGACATCAGCGAATATTGGAAGGATGAATAGACATTAGGAGGACAAAATGCATTGGGAGAGGGTTCCAGAAATGAGAACAGCCCAAAGGAAAGACCAGAGGAAAGAGAGCATAGTGTGTTCATGAAGCTTGCAGTAAGCTGCATGTGGTCAGTGCCTGGAACTGGGAGAAGAGGAGGGGAGAGGTGAGCAGGATTGAAGGTCGATCCAGCAGGACCTGGTGTGTTTGGACTTTGTCTAGGGCTTCGTGGAGAAGGGGTTGTGATGGAGCAGGACTGGACGCCGGGGCAATGCGGAAGCCGGCAGTCCGGGCATGAGATGATGGCCCTGCGACAGGTGGAGGTGGGGTGTGGGGGAGAATGAGGTTATATCAAGATGGCGGAATGATGGAACTTGGTCACAGATCGGAAGTGGCAGGTGCATGAATGGTTTGGAGAAGAAGGAGCTTGGGCCTGGTCAGGGAAGTGGCGTGTTTAGGTGCGGGGTACTCAGAACCTGTGGGTAGCAGAGGCCACTGCAACATTTCCAGGTAGGTCCAAGCAAAGGGCTCCAAGAGAAATCTTCATGAAAGATACATGGAGTCAATCATTGTATTCTGCAACACACCTAACCTGTATAAATGCAGGTATGACATAAAAGAAATAAAGTTTGCTGTTACAAGAAGGACTGAGGGACTTTGGGAGCATTGTCATTCAGCCAGTGGCAATAGTGTTGTTATTATAGGGTGTCAAGTCAGCTGGGGCATCTGAATCCCAGGTCTGCATCTGTGAGCTGTATGGCTTTGTGCAGGGTTACCTTGCCTGTAGACTCCCCAGCATGCTAGGAAAGCAGACGGGGTATCTGAGGCTGCTTGGGAAGGGTTTCATGGAAAGTGAGAGAGGCTTAGAGAAACAGAGGGACACTGAGTGGGGTCAGTGTGAGCTTGGCATTCCGGGCAGAGGCACCGGCCCGTGTCTGGGAGCCAAGTGAGAGTGGCTGGATTTGAGGCTGGGGAGTTGGGGTGAAGTTGACCAGAGAGGCCTCATGGAGCAGCCCAAGGAGCTGGATTTTTATCCAGCGTAGGTAGGCAGTGAGAAGCAGCCAGTGTTTTCAAGAAGGAAATGAAATGTTTATATTTCTAATATTTCATATTAGAAAGCAAAAGCTTTCTAGAATCCTGAAGGCAGGGCGGCCAGCTTGGAGGCTGTGTCTGGGGTCCGGGCGGAAGCACATGGTGGCCAGGGCAGCAGCAGGGGCTGGAGAGAAGAGGCTGCGTTCATGGACGTTTTGGGGTGGGAATCAACAACACATTAGTGGCATGCAGTGTCAGGAGGAGAGTGGAGTCCTCGTGCAATGTGGCTGACTGACTCCGTGGAGGGTGATGTATGGTAATTCAGGTGATTCAGGTAATTCAAAAGGAGTAAGTCTAACCCATTAGCTTTGGAGACAATCATAGGTTAAATTGACCAATGAACTCGCCTGCCCCCTTCCACGATGTGGTAGTTCCTCCAGCTCACAGTGCAAAGAACAACAAACACCCCGATTGTGTGTTTTCTTGCCTCCCAGAGATAGAACACATCAGAAGGCTTGTCTTTCTTGCCAGTGGCTCTCTGGCATGTCTCTGGACCAGAGTCTATGACGCCTGAGACCCAGGGCCCAGGGCCAGGAGCTGCTGTTTCCTCTGTGAACACTTATGTGGGACACCATTTGGAGAAACACTTGGAGAGATTTCAGAACTTTGTCCGTTCCCTGAAATCAAGTAATAATATGACTCGGCAACCAAAAAAATCCAGTGCTGCTTTTTTATTTATCTACACGTTGTTTTCAGAAAATAAGGGATGATTTAGTTTTTAAAAAAGAAAAGGAAAAGAAAAACAGCCATTAATGACAGTCTAGGGTATTTTTGGTGCTTGTTTCAAGATTATCTTGAACTTCTTTAGTCAATTAGGAATATTTCTAGTGGGAAATTCTTTTCTATTGACAAAAAAATGTTGACTTTTTACATAAATATGACACAAAAAACCTTTTTGATCTACTGCAATCCCATCGCACTAACAAATGCCCACTTTTATTTTTCCATGTTATTTCCACTCTAAAATGTGCAAAGATAAATTGCCCCCATAGTCTAAGTGTAGTTAAAGTCTGCTAGTTCATTTAATATTACGTCATAAGCACTTTCTATGTTGTGACAGTTGTTACCATTATTTTTAATGCCTGCATAATAGTCTGTTGAGTGTATGTGTAGTAATTTAGCCAGTTCCCTATCATTGGATATTTATGTTATTTCCAGTTTATACTCTCAGTACCATTTCCCTGCACATAGCTTTTTCTTATTTTAGATTATTTCCTCAGATTAAATAGATCAAAAAGTATGCCTGTTTTGTGGCTCTTGATATAAAAATGATTTGGGAAAGGGTTGCGCTAATGAACGATGTCATCAGCAACCTAGGAGTATTTCAGCTTACCCTCCCCTTGACAGGACTCAGCGTTATCCCTTCTGAGATGTCTGCTGACGTCAGCGCATGAACCCTGCTACCTTGCTCTGGTGCCCATTTGTACAGGAGAAATCTCCCCAGACCAAAATACAGGGAAGTCTGCTTTTCCTAAGCAGCTAGAGTGTGTTTTTCTTTCAAATCCTGGGCTTCTTGGAACATTATTGTGTAATCTTCTTCGCTTGGTGGGTAGGACACCCAGACCTGGAACCACAACCCACTTTTAGCTAATGTGAGGTGCCCCCTGGCTCCGGCTCTGTCCGCATCTTGATGCCTGTTCGGTATTGTGCCTTGTCAACAGCTCTGTCAGATATTGGCTCTGAAACGAGTCATGTGATGAAAGTCTGGGGGCGGGGGAGCCCATAAACCATGGTGTGGTCCGGGACTGTGTAATAGGACACTGTGCAGAGTCCAGCCGCTGCCCCCAAGTCAGACTCCACCCTGAAGGCTGCATTTTCCTTGGGTTGCAACAATCTGAAAGGATCACAAAAGGAGAAGGTGCATCCCTAGCTTTTAGGGAGATCGCTAAATCCTCAGATAGCAGAGGAGGAGAAAGTGAGGCACAGAGAGGTTAAGTAGTATGTCCAAGTTCAAACAACAAACAGGGTCACGGTAAGGGTGTGTTGAATGAATGAGCAAATGAGCCAATGGGAGCAGCAGAGTGGGTGGCAGAGGGTGTGGCCGCATCGATAGAGACCCCTCCTTACCCCCCAAGAAAGCCCTTTTTAATGCCTGCATAATATTCTGTTGAGTGTATGTGTAAAAGTTTAGCCAGTTCCCTATCATTGGACATTTATGTTATTTCCAGTTTTCACATCCAAGCCCTGCCGGTGGGAAATCAGCAGCAGCATCTGGTCCCCAGAGGGCCAGCGTGTGTGCCTGCATTGGAGGAAAGGGAGTCAGAAGGGTGACTCCACATTGTGGGTCAGAGAAGGCCTCTGGGTAAAGACCTTGCCCAGGATGCCTGAATGTTGTGAGCAAAGGAGCCGACGCGGGTGAAATGGCATCCATCCCAGGCAGCCAGGACCAAGCACCCAGTGGGGAGCAATCCTGGTGTTTCAGGAATAGGAAAAACCAACAAACAAAACTAAGACCAAACACCGGTGTGACTGTCCCCCTTACTCTGGTGGTGAGAGCGGGCGTCACATGAGAAGGCCACGAGGTAAGAAGGGCCGAGAGTGGTTTCAGTCCCAGGGCACCGGAGGATGGAAGGTCCTGAGTGTGCGGACCCCTCCCATCTCCCCAACACAGGCTGTCTTTTCCCACCTGTGGTGCCCCAGTGGGTCATCATCAAAGCCTGGGACGCCTGCCTCCCTCCTCCATCTCAGACCTGTTTGTGAAGTGCCGCCCTGTGCTTTTGCTGATGGTAACTGACTTTTGTGTTGACTTGCAGATCATAAGGCAGCAGTTTCCTCAGCTAACCACCAGAAGACTCGGGACCCGAGGACAGTCCAAGTAAGCACTGGCCACCTCCAGCTCCCTGCAGAGTCGGGCCCAGACCCAGCCTTCCACCCAGGTCGGGCAGGAGGCCTGTACCCTACCAGTGCCCCAGGAACTTTGCACAGCTGGGCTCCCCTCTCCTGGGACTCCCAAGAGAGGGGCTTCCCAGAACCCTTCTGACCCAGCCGCTTTAAGGAATCCGATTTTGTGCCACGCTGCCTCTGGGTGCTTTCGTAAAACAGTCATGGGCGTCTTCTGAAGGAGCACCTTGTGGTTTCCTGGACCATCTCCAAGTCACTTGGACTGTCTTGCTGACTGGCTCTCTGCCCGAGTGGTCTCCCGGGGGCTAGAGAAGCAGCTGTATCAACCCCTGTGTGGGAGAGGGGATGGACAGGCCCCCTCATAACGTGGCTCAGGGGGCATCCTGCTGCCCTTTCCTGGGCCAGCCAGCCCACCAGCTCTGGTCTCTCACTCCCCGGGTTTCAGTAGCGGGTGCTCAGTGCAAGAACATGGGGTCATGTATTCTGCTGCATGAGACAGACGGAACAAAATAATGGAATTAAGACAACGAGAGTTGACATAGAAAATAACAAGCCGGGGCGGCGGGGGCCTAGTTTGGAAAGGGTAGCCCTGGAAGCCCTTTCTGGGGCATGAGAAGGATGCATGCACACCTGTCTGTAGGTGGGGGCGGCAGGAAGGACACTGTGCTGTTAGGGTGTCTCTAAAATTTAGAATTACAGGACTTGCCTTGCAGGGTGTATTGAAAATTGTTGGGTGTCAATAGGTGTTCTGTGAAAAAGGGCTGGTGGTCCTGTTGGCTGGGCAGGTGCCAAGGTAGGTCCTTGTACCCCAGGACTTCTCAGAACCTTCATTATGCTAATGCACAGGTGAATCCACTAGAGGGTGCCTCATTACGCAGCGTTGCCAAACATGTGACCGTGCAGAGTAGCAGGTCAGCACATAGTGCCTTGTAAAATACTGAGACTTTAAAAACAAAACAGCCACCCCACAGGACGCACAAGACTTGTCCCTTAGTGGTGTTTTAAAGGTGTGTGTCTCAGCCACTCCCCTCCTGTCACCCCTGGGCAGCACCATCCTGTGAGGGCGGTAAACTGTGGAGTCAAGTTAGGTAAAGAAAGTGGCTGATCAAACTGGGAAAAAAAAAACCCTTTTTGATAAAGTCCTGGAAATAAAGGAGACTAATTTGTGTGTGTGTGTGTGTGTGTGTGTGTGTGTGTGTGTGAGAGAGAGAGAGAGAGAGAGAGAGAGAGAGAGAGACTTAGCAACTCTGGGGGGCAATTTCCAAGGAGATGGACAGAAAATTTCTGAACAAGGAACAGTTTGGAATAAATTTATAATAATTTCCCAAGGCGACTAAGGAAAAACAATTCTAAACCAAAAATGTCACTTATAATGAGAAATTCTGGTTATTAGTTTAAGAATGGGCCTTCAGCCTTGGTCAGAGTATGGCGTACAAATGCCAGATTCTTTCTTATGGGTTTGCTGGCAAGCACAGTGCTTGGCACACGGCAGACAGTGGAAGCGTCATGCAGAGAAGTGAATGGTTGGAAGAACGTGAGTGGAAATGAATTCTTTTTCTCCAGCACATGGTCTTTGAAGAGTCACTGGCTCCAACACAATATTGTCCATTTCTAAGCTAGAAGAGTAGAAACAGATGGTAAAGATAGGCAGAGAGAGGGAGCAGAGATGGCAAATGTGGCCCAGAAAGATTCTCCATCCTGTGCAAACTTGTAGAAAATTTCCTGAAATGTGAGAGCTTGTTTTTGGGTTTGTTTTTGTTCTTTTTCTCTCTTTTTTCACCTAGAGGTTGACAAATTGGGCAACATCTTCTTTTAAACTTGGGTGTGCTCAGTCTCGTTGTATCCTCCCCGTAAGAATTCTCCAAGGTTGGTCAGACCTTCCACCAGTCTAAAAGTTACTAAGAAGCTCTAGTCTCCAACCTGCCCCTCAGCCTTACTGAGAAACACCCCTCAGCACATTCACCTTGACAGAATAAACTCTGGGGGGGTTAGTGGAGCGCTGGCCACAGCCCCACAGAACTGAAATAGAAACACTCAGAAGTGATGCGGGCTGGTGCTCTCTGTCATTGCTATGGCTCTTTTGCTAGAGCTGTAGCTTCTCTGTAATTGCTGATTTTAACAACCTTCACTGAATAATCAAAAGTGGTTTGATGGGGAAATGTTGTTACAATTTGACCTTAGGAAATTATAAAGGGGGACTCGGTAAAGTGAGGGAGGTGGGCCCCAACTGCCTTCCCACCTCAGAGCGCTCTGGGAGTCCCGGAACCAGTCCCCTCCCCCTGCAGAAAGGGTGCCCGGGAGCCCGAGAGGCAGTTATGACAGTTGGGGAGTAGAAGGCACAGAAGACAGATATCAGCTCGACACAAAGAGGAACTTCCTGAGAACCGATAACTCTACCGACTTAAAATGAACTGGGCTGCCTTCGGAGGGTCTGAGTTCTTGGTCCCTGGAGGCATCCAGATAGAGGCGGCTTGCCCGCTGAGCAGAAGTATCACAGAATGGTATCCGGAGCCAGGGCGGAGGGAGAGGGGAAGTTGTGTGTGCTCGTCTCTCTCCTCCCAGGGAAGCCCTCTCGTGACTCAGTAGGCTTTCTCATTCATCTTATTCTCTGACCCCCACCCGCCCTGTGTCCGTGAGGAGAGCCGTTCATCTGTGACACAGCATCTGAGCGTGAGGTCCATGAGTGGTGCATATTCCGTATGATCGTGTGGTTGTAAATGTCTTCTCTAGACCTGCTAAATGAGAATCTCAGGCAGGAGGGTGATGTCTGCATGTCAACATGTTTTGTCGCTGATTCTTCTTATTCGTGAAATTTGAGTATCACTGGCTTAGTGACTAAGAGCACTTTACAGATTTATCTTCTGTCTCCACAACTTTCTGGGTGATCTCGGGTTGTCAGTTAAACTCTCGTCCCCCCAGGCCTTAGTTTCCCAGTCTGTAAATGGGATAATAATTAGTTCAACTTCCTGGGTGGCAGGTGGGAGGGGGGCTATTGTGAGGTTAAATCAGTAATGTGTGTAAAGCACTTAGCACCATGCTAGCTGCTGTGAGGAGCATCGTATTTATAAGGGTAGATGACGACAGTCTCTCCAGTGTGGGGAATCACAGAGCCACGGATATCAGGCAGGCTTAAGCCTCCAGAGTTACCGTCGGTGCTTGTGTCAGTGCTGACTCTTGGGCCCTATTCCCACGTTCCGGATCTGTAGGTCTGGGATTGGTATTATTATTACTCTCTGCAAGTGACTCAGACAAGTAGCAGAGTTATAATGCCCTGGGCAGTACTTCGTGCTCACACAGACCTGTGTTCAGGAACCTGCTCTCCCCTCGACAGCTGTCTGACCTTGAGCAAATGACTTGGGTTTCCCTGCCCCCATTGTTTCATCTACATCAAGACTGTGATAACCCTCACTTTGCAGGGTTAATTTGCAAGTTGATGCATTCAAAGCGTGGCATGTAGCAAAAACTCAGTAAATTGTAGATGCACTCCAAAGTGCAGCCGCCATTCCCCGTTATTCTTAACTGAAAACATGGCTAGCGTTAAGCCCAGTTTGAGTTAATCAAAGTCCTTGTCTTTGTTTCACATTCAGTGTCCACTGAAGGACTGAATTTCTCTTTGGACAGATGCAAGTGCTTTCAGACTACCTTTTATTGATAAGAAAAAGCTAGGCCCGGGAGGTTGGTGTCGGTACTGAGCTGTCACATCCACGCCCTTCCTTGTGGACCCCACAGTGGGGGACATTCCAGTGCGGAGCCTCTGGGAGCTCATCTGGCACATTAGATATAAGATATTAAGTACAAATGGAAAATTTTTCACCCCCCTTCTGCTTTGCAAAGTATTTGACTTAACATTTTCTGTAGGAGGCAATTTTGGTTATTTTTACCTGCCTGATTGATGGCTGGCAACATGGAACTTAGGCTTAATTCTAGATTTCAGAGATGTTGAGTCTTAGAGGAGAGTTAACTCTTATAGCCGAGGGAGGATGGGCCCAGTGTCCTTGACCTTGGGCACCCTCCCACCCCTACCCCGCCTGATAACAGCCCATGTGGGTCTCTCTTTGTGGCCCAGGTACCACTACTACGGCATTGCGGTGAAGGAAAGCTCCCAATACTATGATGTGATGTATTCCAAGAAAGGAGCTGCCTGGGTGAGCGAGACGGGCAAAAAAGAAGTGAGCAAACAGACAGTGGCGTATTCACCCCGGTCCAAACTCGGAACACTGCTGCCAGAGTTTCCAAACGTCAAAGATTTAAATCTGCCAGCCAGTCTGCCTGAAGAGAAGGTGACCGAGTTCAAAGGGCTACAGGGAACGGGCGGTTTCTTGGTCTCTTCCTCCCTCTCTTTCTTATACACACACACACATACATACTCTCTCTCATTCTCTCTCTCTTTCTTTCATTGCAAAATGGTAAGTATAAAAATACAAAATGAAAATCTCAGTAAAGTGTGGACTTCAGTTCCTTCTCTTGGTCAGCATTGGTCCATGGGGTGTGACAAATGTGAGCACAGTGACGTAAGTGGGTACGAGGTCCATGGAATTCCCTGCCCCATCTTGGAACTTGACAAATATAGTACTGATCTAACATTAAGTTTATCTCCCCACCTACTTACCCACCTTCTGTGATGTCACGCTGCCTCCTTTCAAGAGGGAAGGACCTCTCTCGTCTGGATCCCTTTTTGATTCTCCCACATGCTGCACAGATCATAGTCCCACAGACTGGGCAGACGCTGTCAAGTATCAGATGGTCTGGATAGTTGTGCACTTGGAGGAAATTATTTGGAATACAAATCTGGGGACTTCTCCCTGGGTCCCGCATCCCTAACACACCTCTGTTGATGCCACCCAGTGCACAGGGCGGGGTGAGGGGTGGTTTGGGGTGGTGGTGTTGAGCTTCTGCTGTCTACATATTGCAGCAGGAGCCAGAGATGGGAGAAGAGACATCTGTTTGTCCAGCAAGCTAGGTTTATATGGAGCACATGTCTGTGTTCTGAAACAAGAAGTATATAAAGCATGCTTTAATTCTACGAACTAGATAAATCTTTTTTTTTTTAAATCAACAGACAAGTGTCCTATACCATGGCTTTAAAATTCTCATATTCCTGGAGCTGGAAATGAAATTCTTTTGCTAACGCAGATTCCAGAGAATTTCCAGATGTCTTTTTTATTTTGGCAAAAAGACCTCTTCTCATAAATATGCACAGGGTTTTTACTTTTCAGTATCTTAGCTGATGAGGAGAATTTAATTCAGTAAACCCTACCAAACTCTGCTATGCACTAGGCACTGTTCCAAATGTGGGAAACACAAGGAAGAATGAGATGCCATTTTTACTGTCCCAGAGCTCACAGTCTCAGGGGGTGGAGACTAGAGGCAGACAGAGAAACTGAGACACTCTCTGAGCCTGAGTGGGAGATGCACTCAGGTGTGCTGGGAGCTCGGAGGAGGGGGCTGAGAGCCAGGGGACACCACCTGCTTTGGAGGAGTCTCATTTGTGACTTACAGGACTAGTGTTAGTCAATTTCGCCCCCACACCAGGGCCAAAGCAACTTGACAATTGAATTTCCAAGGGCACGGTCATCTGTATTAATATATGCCTTTATTGTCGATTCCCCCCTACCACAGGTTTCTACCTTTATTATGATGTACAGAACACACTGTCAAAGAATACTGGACACTGTAATAAGAGCCAACTTTGATGAGGTAGGTCACCAAGTTTTGAGCTGTGAAGACTCTGTATGGAAATATCATAATACACTGGCTCCTATTTCATGAGCTCCTGGCCTGTGCCAGCCCTTCTGGAAATCCTTTATTCCTCTCTGTGAGCCTAGGAAGCAGACACCACTATTATCCCCATTTTACAGACCTTACATGTGAACAGCAGTTGGTGTGGCCTTTTCCTTGGTCTAGCTGGTCAACCACATCCTCTCCAATTGACTGACTAGGAAGACAACTCTGCCAGGTTACCTATCCCCCTGGGATTACTATATCAGAGACACCAGAGGAAAGCTAGCCCACAGTTTGGTTTTAATCTTTCCTAAAACTCAGCACATTTAGTGCTGTTTCCCTTCCAGTCTCAAGGTGTGAGCCATGTATCTAGCAAATCCTATTAGTTGGGCCATCTTGGAAGGTAGACAATGGAAGTCCATTTTGTTTTTATTTTAAAATGTTACAGTTTAAGAATGGAGAGGAGAAATAAAAGATTAAAGCACCACTTACATAACCAGAGAGACAATAAAATCTTGCCTAAAATGCCATCTGAAAGAGCATTTTGGTATGGCAAGAGACCACACGTGTCACCCCAGAAACTGACTCTTTTTTCTGTTTAAAGAAAATGCCTTGCAGGCAAAAAACCACCATGGGGCTGGGTGTGGACATTCAATTTGAGGGAAGATAATGCAGGCTCTCAAAGGGCTATAAAAACTAATAGTTAACTAGTGGAAGAAATCCCAGAGATTGCCTTTGTGTGTGTTTTACTGTGTGTATGTGTGTGTGTGTGTGTGTGTGTGTGTGTGTGTGTGTGTATCAGTCACTGGAGGGGAAGGCGTGCAGGGCACCCTACTCCTCTGCATTGTCTACCTCCCCGGCCGAGTGTCCCAGCAGCCAGCGTGTTGTGGGCTCCTGCACGCGTGTGTCACTGCACGCAGTCCCCGCGCGGCGCTGGCATGGGCTCGCAGCCACAGGCCTGGCAGGGAGAGCGGCATGCTGGTAGATGACTCTCCTCCTCCTTGACTTTTCTTTATTTGATTAAAAAAACAAAAAAACTCCCAAATTCCTTGGGCAACCATTTAAGTGTTTTTTTTTTTTTTTAAAGAAAAAAATAGTGTTGTCTGCTGTGTCTTACATTCCAAAGGTCACTGAGATGGGGGTAAAGAGTGATTCATGATTGGTTAAGGCAACTGGTTTCTGGAACAAACAACCCCCGAATCTTAAAGTGTTAGAAAAGCATTTGTCACGTGTGTCACCGTCCCTTGGGGAACATTCTTGGTTGGCAGGCTGGTTGCTGCTGGTTCTCCCTCCTTCCCTTACCTTCTTGCTCAAGGAACTGATGCTATTGGGTATGAAATGGTCTGCGATGCTGAGGATAGATCAAAACTGGAAAACACGCCCTCTACAAAGCTAATCAGGGCTCCCCGTGCCACCTGAACAGCCCTGAAACAGGCTTGCCAGCTAAAGACTGATTTTCCACAGATTTGTTTTAACCTACACAGTGCTGATTTTTTTCCAGAATTTCTGCTAGAAACTGACTGCTCATTAAAAAAAAAAAAAGAGTAGGTACGGCTGAATGCAAGGCGAGCTCTGAAAAGACAAGTGTGTTTAGAATCTACCAAATCTTAGGAATCAGCTGGGTAGAGCCTCTCACTTAGGGTTGGAAGGACAGACAGGGAAGTCCAGGAACTTGCCTGAGGCCAGTTTTCAAGGGCCAGCTGGGGTCAGGGGACAGTGGAAGGTCTTCTGGGGGACATGTACCTTGTCCAAGAGCCATGGTGTCTTCAGGCCCAGGTCACACCGGTAGCCACCACAGGCGTCCCGAGGACAGAGCACATGGTGTTCCTGGCTGGGTGACGTCCTGAGAGGCAAGGGTGTCTCACATCTCTAGGGCAATACACTGACTTCTTGGTCCTGGTAGTGTCCCTAGGATAGAACAACAGCCACTGACCTTCACTGAGCATCAACCATGAGCCAAGCGCTGTAGTAAATACGTTTTAGGAATCTTTGCCAAAACCTATGCAGCAAATGCTACTTTTAGCCCCATCTCACAGGTGAGGAAACTCACCCTGCCCTGCTCTCTCTCTCTGACCTGCAACTCTCACGGTGAAAGGAGGAGGGCCTCAAGATGTTCTGTGCTTTGGACATCCACTTGCCATTTGTTGGTCAGTGGTACAGCCCGAGTTCTCCCGTATCACATCAGCAGGTGGGACTCTGTTGTTGAGCACCTGCCTCACTCTGTTCCACGCCAGTGGCTGGGGTGGCAGCGCCACGGAGCTTCCCCTCTAGACACTGCCAATCTGGCATCCCAAGATGGCGGCATCTGGCCAGAGCTCTTTGGCAAGATGGCGGGACCTGGATTGAAGGGGCCTTTGCCCTTTATCCAGCTCTTAGTGTACAAGTTTGAGTCAGGAGATTTGTTTGTGGTTCCTACTCACCTTCCTTCCAGACATATTCCTCTTACCGGCAATTCCACATGATTCCCTTCTTTCCTAGAACAGCCCGGGCCCCGGAGCACCAACAGGCCCAAAGAATAGCAAGTAAAGTGCTTTGAGCTTTAAAACAAACAAAACAAACCTTTCCCAGACCATAGTAAGCCTCAAGGCCAAATAGGTCAACAGGCAGCCCTGGGTTGGAGGCAGAGGAGCCCCTAGGCCGCTAGGCGATAGGGTTCTCTTCCCAGCAGCACCGAGGGGCGGGGTAAGACTTGGGACAAGAGGCCCTTCCAGGGTCTGCTTGGTCACACCAGGCTGGGGCAGCCGCTGCCGCTGCAGGGGGAGGAGATGACAGCAGGGCACACTTGGGTTGGCCTTGGCAGAGCCCAGGACTCCATTGGGAGGACCCCATGTAACCTCGTGGCTGTTCTCTCTGTGGGTCAATACAGGTTCAAAGTTTCCTTCTGCACTTTTGGCAAGGAATGCCACCCCACATGCTGCCTGTGCTGGGCTCCTCTGCCGTGGTCAACATCGTGGGTGTGTGTGACTCCATCCTCTACAAAGCTATCTCCGGGGTGCTGATGCCCACCGTGCTGCAGGCGCTGCCCGACAGGTGGGACCTGGGGCTGGGTTACTACTCTCTCTCTCTCTCTCTCGCTCTCTCTCTCTCTCCCCCCTCTCAGAATTTTTATTTTTTAATGTGTTTTTTATTGAAGTGACATTGGTTTATAACACTGTACATGATTCGGAGATGGGAAACATAATCACTCGCTTTTGGGCCCTCCCTCGTAAAGACCATTCGTATTGGACTTTTAAAAGTTATTTGGCACCATTTGCATGGTTCAGAATTAAATATGGTATCACTGTCAAGTGTCCCTCCACTCTTGTCCCCCAGACGCCCTGGTTTCTTCCCAGAGCACCAGATATAATCGTTTTCTTGGGGGCCCATCCAGATCTGCTATGCACAGGTAACTAAAGCATATTATATATGTTTTCTCCTTTTGACTGAAATGGTGACTCACTGTATTTTCTGTTCTGGATTAGAAAAAAAAGTGATGTTGAACAGTTTCCCTGCCCCTCTGTCTGCACTCCCTGCCATGCTCCGTGCTGCTGTTTCCCCGGGGAGTGGGCCACGTAGAGCACAACCCAGAACTGCCCTTCCTTCTGGCTTCCAGAGGGATCAGCAAAATGGAGGGTGTGGGGCATGGCCAGGAGGGAGCTCGCAGGGAGGGAGGAAGTGAGAAGAGTGAGGCTGGTTGGTTGACTCTCTGCCTCCCTCCCTGTGAGGTCACCTTCAGCTGGCCTTGTACCTCCACCAGGCTCACCCCCCTCCCACGAAGCCTCTCTCCTTCCAGGTTGTCCTTTGGGCACAGGGGGGTGAGAATCCAACTGCCCATCCCCAGGTTGCAGCAGAGTCTCCCTTATGGGTGCCACATGTCGGTCCACACTTTTACATTGTGTCCCTAATAAACTCTCCTGCCTCGAGCAGCATGGGAACTGTTACAGAGAGTACCCACAGAGAGCCCTCTGTTTGCTTTTGTACACCTGCATACTGCTCCACTGTATTGACTTTAATCCACTGTCTTGCTGTTTCCAGTCTTAATCCACTACAAACAAGGCTGTTTGAGGACATTCTTGTTCATGGTGGAGAGCACTGCATTCTTTTCCTAGGACTGACTGACTTAAAACAACAGAAATTTATTCTTCTAGAGTTGTTGAGACCAGACATCTGAAATCAAGGTGTTGGCAGGGTTGGTTTCTTCCAGAGACTTGGTGGGAGGGTCTGTTTTATGCCTGTCTCCCAGCTTCCGGTGGCTGCCAGCAGGCCTTGGTGGTGTGAGCTTGTAGATATACATCGCTCTGGTCTCTGCCTCCACGCTTATAAGATTTGCAGTCTGGGTGGCTCTGTCTCTTGTAAGGACACTCGCCATTGCACTGAAGGCCCACGCAGCTAACCCAAGATCTTAGCTCAGGTTCCTTAATTGCATCTGTAAAGGCCTTTTTCCTAGACAAAGCCACCTCCATGTTCCCAGGTGGACATGTCTTAAGGCATCATTCATCCTACCACATGGAGTATATTATATGTTCAGGATAAATGCCTAGAGGGCTTCATTCCTGATTCGGAGGATATGTGACAAACTTTTCCCAGTGAAGTTTTTTATTTTTTTTATTTTTTTTTTTTTAATTTTCTAGAGGCATGTCTTATTTATTTATTTATTTATTGTTTGTTTGTTTGATACATGCACTGGGTACAGTCAGAAGCGTGGGAGGGTGAGAGAATTCACCAGAGCCAGAGCGGGGAGCAGAGCAGGCAGAAGGACCGAAGTACACTGCTGAGGGGAGCAGCGGGCGGCAGGAGAGGTCTGCGCGCCATGTGGGACCCTCCTCTGGTGGCCGGGGAGCAGCCGGGGATCGAACCGGCTGCAGAGGCTGCAGGCAGCTTCGCAACCCAGCGCTCAACCGCTGCGCCACCGGGGAGGCCCCCAGTGAAGTTTTTTTAAACTTCCATTTATCTTATTAATCAAATTGACTATGCCTTTGAGTAATTTGTACTTCTGTTCCCATAAATTCTAATCCTTTGACTTTTTCTATTTGGTGGTTGATGTTTTCCTTCTTGATTTGTGGGAGCTCTTATTTATTAAGGGTATTAATCATTTATCGGTGATAAGAGTTGCAATTATTTTTTTATTTGGTGGTTCTTTTTGTTTTTGACGTACAGGAATGTATTTATGGAGTTGAAATTATCAGCCCTTGATTTTATGCCTTCTGGATTTGTATCATAGTTTTTAAGCCTTCTCTAATCCAATTATACTTCCTCAGGGTTTAGCCCACTATCTTTATGGTTTAATTTTGAACATTGAATTTTTGCTCATTTGGAATGGCTTCTTTTCCCCCCACCCAGCCACTGACCTGTTGTCCCAATACCATATGTTAATTATTCCATGTTTTCATCACAGATTTCAGATGTTCCCTTTTTTTATTTAGTAGGTCCTATATGTATTGGGGCTGTTTCAACATATGCCATTGATAATTCTGCATCCTCATAGTCCAGGGTCACCCTGTTTTAAGTTTGTGCTTTTAAATGTAGTTTAACATATTTGGTAGGGCTAACTCCTCCTCATCCTTGCTTTCCTCTTTTAGGATTTCCCTGTGGTCTCTTAGTTTTCTACATCAACTGTGTTAGTGCAGGTTGGTTTGTCATTTTAATAAGTGACATGGCCTCTGAAGGTGCAGCAGTGTCATCCCCAGACACCGCAGCCAGGTGACAGCTGTGAGCCCAGGCTTTGGGGCCAGAGAAGTCTGGGCGTGGGGCGTGGCTCTCCCATTTACATGCTGCACCTCCTTGGACAAATAACTTCTCTGAGCCTCTGATTCTCACCTCTCTGCTGAGACTAACAACAGGGTTGATGTGAGGATTAAATGAGGAAACACGTATGAAGTGTTTAGAGTTTGGCCCACTGCATGCAGTGACAGGTAGCTGCCCTTTCCCTGCTGCTGCTGTTGTTTCAGTGCCACTGCTGGAGGTCATGGAGGAGGCTGCAAGTGAGGAGTTAAGGTGCAGAAGGGCTGGAGCTCGAGCTCTGAATATGGGCATCTTGCACACAAAGTGGGGGAGAAACTGTCGCCAGCAGAGTGGGGTGGGCCTGGGAATGCCTGCCTGGGGAGGCAGTAGCCAGGGATGGGTCAGCTGGGCGCATCCTCATAGTCCAGGGTAGTGAAGACAAGAGTGTCTGATAAGGGGGTGTCAGTGAGCGTCACTGGCCAGATGCATCTCCCACACTGGGGGTTCCTGAGGCCAGCTCCCCACCTGCTCCTTCCACACCAGGGCTCAACAGCCTGGATGTTTACCTTACTCCCAACAGACCGGCAGCCTTAAGTCCCAAAATAGAATCCTTTCCGGGCTGAATCTCTGCTTTTCTTCAGCCTCATAAAATCAAAAAATTACACTAAATGAAAGACTCTGTCCACAGTCCTGCTGTTGACCCTCTGCTCCAAAGGCAGCTCCCCCAGTTCATCTGCAAGTAACGCCTCCAGGCCATGTGTCAGGCGAGCACAGCAGGCTGCTCCCTGGTCGCCCAGCAGCCCTGAGGCAGGTCTCTAAATTATGACTCCTGCCAAGAGCAGTAAGGTGCTCCGAGAAATCTTCTCACTTAGAAGTTGGACTCAGTGTGCAACTAGCTGGTAACTGTTTTTTGAACTTTGCTGTATATACATGCAGTCATTTTGGTGCAATCAGTAGTTTTTTGACATTTATTAAGCACCTGATAGAAAGTAGGGAGTGTACTTTGAAGCAGGCAATGCGATAGAAGAACCAGGTCTGAAGGGGAAATGAGGAATTTTGTTTGGACATTTTGCATTTGAAGTGCTTTTGGGCCCACTCAGTGGACTTGCCTCTGTATGCATCTGGCCTGGCGTTCAAAAGACCTCTGTGCCAGAGATCTAACAGTGAGCGCAGAGGGTCAAGTTGTCGGCCTGGGCACCCTCCAGGGAAGGCACACAGTGTGCTAAGAGGGCCCAGGGCTGAACTAGGAAGAACTAGCAAACTAGGCAATGGGGGGTCGTGGCGGCTGTGTTTCCTGACAGGGACAGCTCTTTGAAGGTGTATGTCTGTGAAGTGGAAGGAAGCTGGTGGTAGCTTGAGGAGACAGGGAGGAAATGAGGCTTCTCTTTAAAGTGAGACATTTTGGAGTGCATTAAATGATGAGGGGAGTGATCCAGGGGAGAGGAAAATTTGTGCGGGAGAAGGGGTGTCTGTGTGGTCATCTCTTGAGGCGGTGAGGGTGAGGAGGAGGTGAGTCTTGGGGCAAGGGCGGGATGACTCCTTGATTCTATTAGGAAGGGGGTGGGCGAGGGGCAGAGCATGTTGGGAGTGGAGAGTCGAGGGCACCCTGAAGCAGGCCAGGCCAGGCGTTGGTGGCAGGCAAGGACGATGTGGATGGCCAGGCGTGGAGAGAGCTCTCTGTGGCCAGCATGGCCCAGGAGGACATCAGGGAGGAAGCCGGATCTGGGGCTAAGAGTAGTGATTTTGATGGTGAGAGCTTGAAAACAGCGTTCAATGTTCTCTCAACTCCAAACTTCTGTCTCATGTTGCAACCTACTACCCCCTCAACTCTTAAGCCCTCTAGCCCCTCCTACCTCCTGTCCCAAAATGGTCCTTAACTTTCTGGATGTGTTTCAAGGTCCACGTCAGGGTTGCCTGCCAGTTTAAAACCCCCCCGTTGCTTCCCAGTTCCCACCAGTGGCACGCTGTTTGGGAAGCCTGGTCCAGGCTGGGCGGGCAGCAGGGCGTGTGCTGCTGATGGGGCTCCTGCTCCTCTTGGGGGCCTCCACAGGAGTGGGCATCATGAGGAGAGGCCATTGCAAAATGACTGTCTCAGGCCTACAGCCCGCTGTCTTCACCCATCACACCAGGCTCTTCAGAAACACCAAGGATGGCGTTTTACTCTCAGGAAGAGTTCCAGAGGCCGCCAAGCCTCCCAGCGGCCTTCTCCCCACATGAGTGTCTGTGGCTTCTCCCTGGTGGAGCGGCGCTGGCACCCGGCACATTCTGTGGGTGCCCTTCTCAGCCCCGCCAGCTCTCCACAGGGCGGGGGCTGCCGGCCTGCTCTCCGAGGCTGCTGCCGTGCATGGCGCCCAGACCCGATTAGGGAAAATAAAACCCACAGGGCTCTGTAGAGAGGCTGGGGCAGCACAGAGGCACTTAAGACTATTTCTTTTTCTAGCCTAACTCAGGTGATCAGGAAGTTTGCCAAGCAGCTGGACGAGTGGCTTAAAGTGGCTCTCCATGACCTCCCAGAAAATCTGCGAAACATCAAGTTTGAATGTAAGTACCGAGCTTGGGAGCAGGGAGGGAGGACGTTTCAGTGCCAAACATTTCACAAAGGTTGTTAGTATAATAATAATAATCATAGTTGCCCTTTACTCTTGGCCTAAGCATTTACGTGCATTAACTCACTTATGCTCACAAAGTGTTTATTTTGAGCGACACCCCTCCTTTCATAGGGAGGTGGTGCTCAGTGGGGCCAGGAGGTGCCCCTAGGTCCCCCAGGTGCATCAGTGCCATTCTCCGTTTCTCACTGAATTCCGACGTCGCCCTGTGTTGTAGGAAATAGTACCCCTATTCTACAGACTAGGCTCCGAGAGGAAAGACACATCCCCAGAGCCTCACAAGCCGGCAGCTGGTGACTCAGGCCTCCCTGACCCAAAACTCAGGTGTCCCAGGGGCTCCTGCCTGGTGATAGGAGAAGACAGGAAATTTCAGGCCTTTAGGTATTTAACTCTCTGCCTGATTAGAAAGCCAAATTAATATTTCTCATCAGGGGATTGGGACAGTGAATCTTGCTCCTCTGAGCATCTCCACGCATGCCCTGCTACCCCCCCAACCCCCTTGGTCTTGCCTGAGAATCCTGGTCCTGTTTCTCTGTTTGGGTGTGTCCGGGCTGGTGGGGAGACTCACGAGCTGTTAGACAGAGATGAAATGATTTTAGGCCGAACAGAGCTTTAAGGTATATGTCTTTAAAGCCCCACTGGAAGACAGCTTGCCACTGGTGCCCGACATAAGTGCCAGTGAGGAAAATGAAGGAGATCAAATTACCTTCTCTCCACAGGCAAAGGGAGCCCTTTCAGACGTGCTTTGAGGCCGCCTGCCGTGCCCATCACCTATTGATAAAGCCTGCTTTATTTCACGGAGCTCAGTTCTTTTCTTTTCAGTAGCACTAAATTCCACATCACAAAGTTAAAGAAAAAGTAATTAAGGAGAGGGATTAACGATTGATCAGCCTGGAAAATTAGAAGTTCATCTGTCCCCCCAGCCCGCCCCCTCCCCTGCTCTTCCACCCCACACCCTAGTTTTTCAAACCCAGCTGGCTCCGAGTACAAATTAGAATAATCCCAGGGAAATGTCTGTTTCTTGACCAGTTCAGAAATTAATGAGAAGAATGCGCCGCTCCCGTTTTGGTTGTGCCGACAGAACAAAGCCCATGAAAGTGGGCAGCGGGGAGGTTTGTCGGACCTTCTGCCTGTGGGTGCCTGGAGGAAGCCTCTCCTCCCGGGGGGCCAGGGGGCGACCCAGGGATGAGAGGAAACACACACCTCTCCTGTTGACTCTGGAATGGAGACCTCGGGCAGGCACGTGGCAGTCTGCTTCGAAATCCACAGCTACAAGATCACCCCGGTGCTAATTATCAGTCTGTTATGCCCACATGGGGATCACGCTCACCCAAACATGCAATCACCTGATAAACATGACAGATTGTGGCTGCAAAGCCAGATCCAGGCGCAGGAGCACTCCCCCCCCCCCCCCCGCCCCTCCACACCCCGCACCGCACCGCTCAGGGGCAATCATGGTTCTCTGTGAGATCTAGTACTTCTTAAAGGGCCTCCTGCAAACCTTCCACTTGATTCCTGCAATTATTTATGGGGAGAAGTGATTGAGCTTGCAATTAGCCAAATGAAAGACAAGTAAATAATTGCTCTTATTCACGGTTGATTGGCGACACAAGTTCTCACACCTGCCAGCGTGGCGCGCGACTGACTTTGAAATATGTACCCCAAGTATGGCCATTAGGAGATAGTTGTCAAGACTGAATGTGGGAACAAAGAATCAAATGCAGGGTTTCGCTAGTGGGTGCATGAAAGTGCAGGCAAACAAGGACGATGGTTTCTGCAAACCAGGAAAATCCAGGGTCAGCCCAAAAAGCATGCAGATATTTCAAACTGACTCTTTTCTTCTTGCAGTGTCGAGAAGGTTTTCCCAAATCCTGAGACGGCAAACGTCACTAAATCACCTGTGCCAGGTAGCTGTCCTGAGTTACGTGTTCTAACTGCTGTTAAATCCGTGCAAGTAAGGGGCAAATCCCCACAGACAACTCCCTAGGTAGGGCTGTGGCGACGTAACAGCAACTTCTCACTGTTATCGTTAATTTCTGCAGGTGAGGAATGAAAACGGTGTTTACCTTTTTTTACTCAGTCATTTCAGCTTCAACACACAAATTAATTTCTAAACTCGGTTGCCCCTAACTGTTTAGATATGTTCCAGCTCCATAATTTCGTGTTTCCCTCAGGTAGATCAGGGCTTCTCAGCCACTGCTGGCATTCTGGATAATTTCTTGCCGTGGGGAGTTGTCCTACTGTCTCCACACCTCGCCAGGGGACGCACAGTCACCCTGCTGGTGACTCACTGAGACCCCGTGATTCACGTGGAGAAGGAGGGTCGTTTGTTTGTTGCCTGTGTGGCGTCCAAAAGAGTTCAAAGCCACATAGTATACTAAAAATTTATTCAATTTTGTTTATCTTTAAAGATTTGTGTTGTTTTTAGCACAATAGTGACCTATGTTTGCTATAAAACAAATTCAAGCATAGCGGATGTGAAGTGCAGAGTAAAAAGCGGAATATCCCACTGTAACTCCACAGCTGTAATCTGATGGCATAAACCATCTCATTTCTATCAATTTCGCACGTTCAGGAAGGGGAAGAAGGAAGCGGCAAGGCAGCCCATTGACATTCGCCAAAATACCCACAGTCTTCACACAGAAGGGGCAAGCTGATGGTCACGAGTCAAATCTGATCCTCAGACGGGTGGGGTTACTTTTATTTGCATATGTGTTCGAAAAATACTTTCACTTGGTCACTAACCTTTAACAGTGGAGATGACAGCTGAGCATCCAGAACGACATTGCCCAGGGCGGCTGGCAACTGGATGGGCTCACCGTCCCCTCCAGCAGCCACTGTCCTCCCTGCCCCTCCTGTATGCCACCTGCTGGCTTCCTCTAGGTGTTTGGATTTGCAGCCTCTCCCTAATGCCCTTGCTGCTGTTTCTGGGTCGTTGGTGCTGCCTATTCAAGGTTGAGTGGGAGGGAGCGGATTGCAGTTAGTGTCCTGAGGGAAGACTCCAGTCCGGGAACAGCATAAGCTACACCTACACACCTCCGCCTTCCTGTCCTGACCCGGCATAAATGGCGCGGGGCGATGTGGGGATCAGCTGAAAGCCTTCCGCACCCTGCAGGCTGGCACAGAGACCACCCCTGGACATTGTTCGGGAATGGAGCAGAGCCTGGCAGCTTGATGGGATTTAGGGGGAGAAGGAATATTGGCAAATCAAAGGAGCGTTGCCATCTATCCAGGGTACCTGCCTTCTGCTGCTTTCAGCTCTCACTGCATTGCTTAACTCTGGGACACCTGCGAGAAATGAGTCAGGCAGTTTGGTCATTGTGAGTGTGTCACAGTGTGAACTTAGACACACCTAGATTGGATGGCATCCTACACACCTACGCGCTCCATAGAGACCACTGTTGAATGTGAGGTGGTTAGTCATTGACCAAAATGCCGCATATACACAATGCTTGTGTTATCTGTAATTTCCTGCGCTTGAAAGAGCTGGTCTGGAGTCTTACCAGGGAACTAGACAGGGTTTTGGTGCCTCCCTCTGGAGCCAAGACCCTTTAGGAAATTCTTCTCCCCTTTTATACACACGCAGGTAAAAACATCCATGTGTGTCTGCAACCACACGTACACACACACTCTACTAAATCTTAAGGTGTAGTTTCCATCAGTAGTAGTAGTTATTCATATTAGCTTTAATCATTATAGTTACATTTAAAAAAAAGTTAAACCACAAACTGCTTCAAAATGCATTTATGTGAAAAATACATGTTGTCAAATTTCTGGGATTGAATGGGCCACAGTTCCAGGAATGATAGGAAGCTTTCTAGATCTGTGCTCTTGGTTTTTTGGGTGCTAGAGACACAGGGGTTATGTTATGAAGCACAAAGCTCCCTTCAGAAGGCCGACAGTCCTTTGGGCTTTGCCCCACCGTCCCTCGGGGTCAGGACCAAAGGGCCTGGGAAAAGCAGGGTTCCTTCGTCTGACCGAGGCCACCTGGGGGAAGCTTCTTATAGAGAGAGATGCGAGGAGAGGGACACAGAGAGATAGTGGACGTAGCTCCTGAGATATGGCTCACCTGCTGATCTCCAGAACACGTTTTCCTGAATTTCAAAGTAGTTTGCAAACTATCAGAAGCAGATTTGTCAAAAAGACCTAAAAGGAGACAAAGTGAAGGGACTTGAACCTGACCTCCCATGAACTAACGTGCTTGCTGGGTTGGTTTGCAGGCGTCACGGACAGTGATCCACAGCGCAGACATCACATTTCAAATGCTGGAAGACTGGAGGAACGTGGACCTCAACAGCATCACCAAGCAGACCCTCTACACCATGGAAGACTCCCGCGACGAGCACCGGAAACTCATCATCCAGTGTAAGACGTCCCACCAGGGATGGTGTCTTTTCTGTTTGTTTTTTTCCAAAAAAGTATCTTGGTAAATATTTAAGTGGCATTCCCACACTGTCCTTCCACCTAGGATCCTGCCCCTCTAATTGTTCCTGTTAAAGGGATTGGCCTGGATGGGAGGGCTAATTGATTTAAGAAGACATGTGTCAACAGTGCTGCGGAAAAAGGGTTCTGGTGCAGCTGGGCAGCACACCCCCTCATGCAAGGGCCGCACACGTGACCCTCGGTGCCAGGGCAGGTTCCCCAGGTGGCATAAAGAAAGATGAGCATCAAAGCTTGTTGCCTGTCTCCTTGCATGTCATCCTGGTGTCAGCTGGACACCTACCTATGTTTCAGTAGCGAATCCCATGCCCCAGCCCTCCTCTGGCAGGTGAACCTTTCAATCACCTGCGATGTTTGAGAAGGGGGAGCATGCTGAGTTACCTCTGTGGGCAAAGACAGCAGGTATACTGCTCCAGATATTAGCCTGATGGGGACAGGTTGTTTGCTCCTAGTAGGAGAGCATGGGAGAGACCAGAGAACACTACCATTGTTAGCACATCTCTGTTGTTCCTCAGTTGCCTGTGCCATCTGCTACCCACGGTTGCCCACAGCTTGGGGCCCTGAATCAGGGTCTGCAGTCCACTCCCTTACTTGCTCTGCCATTTCCTAGCTGTAAAAACTTTGGAAAGTTACTCATTTTGTTACAGGGCAGCCCCGATACAAAACGGGTTGCCTGACTGTGGGTCCTCACCTGCGCGCTTAAAGGGAATTATTAATACTCCACTGCAGGCACACACAAAAGGTTAATAAAAGGTTTATTTACAAGGGAAGGGCAAATGAGGAAATGTATAACTCAGGGAGGAAAGTGGGAGATAAAGTCTTAAATGCGTCCTACCCGATACGCCAATCTGGAATCCCAAATGGCACTCTGAGAGCTGGCCACGAGCCAGGAGCCGTGAAGCCAGGAGGCGAGCGAGGGAGAGAGACCCCAAGGCCCACGTGTCTGGTTTTTATACCAAACCTGGCTGCTTAACTCCACCCCAGGTCCCAGCACCCTTCCCTTTGGTGGTGATGGGATTTGTCTTTCCCAATGTCTCGATGGCTTGGGTTTAGAGTCGAGGTGGAGTCCACAAAGCCTGTACGGAATTAGCTCAGGACATCCTTTCCCCCTAACAAATTCTCAGTGCCTCAGTTTCCTCATTTGTAAAATGGTGAGTGGTGGTAATAATAGGATCTACCTCCTTAGGTTGTTCATATATTCATTCAACATTTGAACAGTGACATGTACCATGCACTGTTCTAGGTGCTGGGGCAAAACAGTGGGTAAGACTCTGTGCAAGGTTAGCAAGTGTCCTGGCCTCATGACATTCACACTTTGGGATTGTCCAAGGTCAAATAAGCATGGGCATGTACAGCACTTAAATGAGTGCCTGGCCTGTTAGCACTTTTATTGCCACCACCACCACCACCATCATCGCTAGATGGGAGCTCAGATGTGCAGATGGTGTTACAGAGTGAGAAACACCAAAAGGATATTCAGCGACCTGGGTTCCAGTCCTTACTCTGACTCACCCTCTAGCTTCGAGAGGATCACTTAATGTCAGTAAGACACAGCTTTCTTGTCTATAAAATGAGGCAAGTCAGCTCTACAGAGTTATGACTTTCTGGTCCCATAAGCCAGCCTCTCAGAGCAGTCCCTCACTGCCAAATAAAATAGGACAAATTGGCCAGTCCTGTAAAATGGGAGGACAATAATGGCTCCGACAAACAAAAACAACAGGAATGTATGGGCCTGGACTCATGGTTTGACTTTCTCAGCTTCATATGCAGAACAACACACACACACACACACACACACACACAGAGTAGTGAAAAGAGGACTTTCAAACTGGGAATCATCACACAAAAAGTAATGAAAAGAGGTGCTTCAAACTGGAAGTCGCCACAGCGATGTTCTTCCTGTTGTCCACAGCGTCTGGCTGATTACAGAGCACATCCAGATGCGGCTATTTGGCTTGTGTAAAGCTGTTTGATTATCCTCCTCCTACTAATGCAGAAAGTGATGGGTGTGGGATAATTTCCTTTCTTCCTTAAATATTTTTTAAGCATCTACTACATGTCAAGCACTGAGAACTACTTGCCTAATACAGTTGTGGCTTGGAAATATCTGATTTATCAGATGTGCCCTATCACAGAACACAGAGCCAAAGAGCAAGACTTGGCGCCAGCAAGGAGATACTGGGTACCCGCTACGCCGTCCCAGGTAGCGCTGCAGCCAATACAGACACCAGGCAAAGGACCAACAGGGGGTTGACGCACACACATAAAGTGTATTCCTGCTGTCTTTGCCCTCAGATATATGACTATATGGTGAGAAACAGCTCAGCATCTACCCCTTCTCAGACATTGCAGGTGATTGAGAGAGCCACCTGCCAGCAGGTGGGCTGAGGCATGGGATTCGCTATGGACACGTAGGGAGATGTCCAGCTGACCCCAGGGTGGCATGCAGGGAGACAGGCAGCAAGCTTTGATACTCATCTTTTTTTTTTTTTTAATGCCACCTGTGGAACCTGCTGCATATAGTGAGATACAGGGTGATAGAAGGAAGGTAGGCTATAGGTAACATGTTAAAGGAATAGATAACAAATATAGAAAAAGCAGAGAGAAGTGCTATAAAAGTATGGAGGGAGAGTGAGGAGTTTTCCTGGCAAGCAGCAAGAAGAGGGTGAGAACGCAGGATTTCTCAGAACATTTCACCTGGACCCCGAAGAACCAAAGGTCCAAGCAGAGGGGACTGGCTGAGAAAAGGCCAGGGGCGGTGAGGAGGCAGGGTCTGTGGGGGGGATGGAAGTGAGGTGGGGCAGCCAGACCTTGAAGTATTGACAGGCTTGGAAGAGGAGCTGGGAAAGGTCACTGGGGATGTATTTTCTAAAGCCCTGAATGCTGTGCGGAGACGTTGGAGTTTTATTTTATTCCGTTTTGCCCCTTGGGTCCTTTAAGATGCAACCCTGCTTAACACAGCCGTGGTGACGGGTGGGTTCTCCTCTGTCCACAGTGTATCAGGAGTTTGACCATCTCCTGGAGGAGCAGTCTCCCATCGAGTCCTACGTCGAGTGGCTGGACGCCATGGTAGACCGCTGCGTTGTGAAGGTGAGCCGGCGGGAGCAGGGGTGCGGCCCGGACTTGTACCCCAGGGAAATACAGGGCCCCTCGGGGAGCTATCTGGATTCTGCTCAGCAGCCGCAACAGCTGGGTCCAAGGACTGCCCCCCAAGTCCCCAACCCCCTTCCAGGATGTGGGGGGGTCACGGACACAGGATACTGGGTTTCCCACCACCCCTGACTCGACCTTGTCAGTGTCTATCTCTCATCATATGTGTACATTGGGTCCTTGACCAAAGTCAAATACACATTTTAAAGTGTATTTTTGCTGCTGAAAGCAAAACGTCAAAAACCGTTGCTGCATAGCATTGAACTCGGAGATCCATACTCCTTCCTGTCGTTTTCCCAAGAGATGGTGGCAGATGAAGGGTCAAAACCACCAGTCCTGAAGCTGTTCGCTTTCTTGTAGGTGGCAGCCAAGAGACAAGGGTCCCTGAAGAAAGTGGCCCAGCAGTTCCTCCTGATGTGGTCCTGTTTTGGAACCAGGGTGATCCGGGACATGACCTTGCATAGCGCCCCCAGCTTCGGTAAGGCCCAAACCCTCACCCTCCCCACCTCCAAACTTATTTTCTCTGGGCTCTGTGGGTGGCCACCTCTCAAGTCAGCCACAGTCTTTTTTTTTATATTTATTTATGCACAGAACTGGGGTGTAGGCCAGAGGTGCTGCGGGGGTGAGAGGATTCACCAGAGACAGAGTAGGGAACAGAACAGGTGGATTCACTGAAATACACTGCCAAGGGGAGCAGCGGGCGAGGCAGGAGAGGTCTGCTGTGCCACGTGGGCAGCTCCCTGGCTGACCAGGGGGATTGAACTCGTGCTGCAGTGGCTGGCGATAGCTTGATAGTGCTGTCTTTAACCCCTGTGCCACCAGGGAGGCCCCCAGCCATGGACTTATTTGCTGTCTCTGAGGCCATAAGACATCACCCTGAAATGTGTCTGTTCTGGGGGAATAAGACACTGTTAGGATTTTCAGGGAGAAAGATGACCTTGCCTCCTAAAGGTTTTGAAAAAAGACATTTGAAAATGACATGCTTCACTCACAGACAGTATGTGAGTTTACAGAGAAAGGAACAACAGCGCCTTCGCTCCCCTTTGGCCAGCTGTCTCCAGAGGTTGCTGCTTGTACGGGCCCAGTTTGCAGCTTTTCATAGTCTGGGCTCCCCAAAACTGGCACACGAAGAAGCCTCTGAGTTTGAACATTTGCAGCTGGCTTGATTGACACTCGGGGTGGATAGCGAGTCTAATAGTTGTCTTTAGAATCACGTCCTGGTCTGATTCCCCGGAAGAGGGCTCTGTGTCCTTCCACCCCTATAGTTTTGCCGACTCCAGAGGTTTGTATCACATCCACCAAGCACCCCTGCCCCACGTCCTCGTCTGCTGTTTTCCAGTGTAACGCCACTCATAATCTCTGCACGAAGCATCTGTGAGCAGGAACCTAATCACCCTCTTGGGGGTGACGTCCACGCTACATTGTGGGGCCCACTTTTCTATTTTTCACTGCATAGAATGGAGTAAGCACTGAGTCCAGGTCATTATTGGCAGAGTGAGGTGGGACTTTCAGGCATTATTCAGAAATTCGAGATCTCAGCACCCTTTAGCCCTATTTTTCTACTCATTTCGGCAAAGGGCTGTTGGTAAATTTTCTGGGTAATTGCTTCAGTTCTCTATTTCACTTTGCAAGTTGAGATGTGGTTTTGTTTCTCATTATCTCCAATTAAGCCAATCAGCTCTGGGTTTCTGCTCTGGGTTTAATTTGACACTTTTCCATCTAGCTTTTTATGGTCTTGTCACCATTTTCCAGTTGTGCTATACAATGAAGTGAATATGTGGTGAAACAAAGAAGGCACTATTTTTTCCAAACAGCTCTGTCCATGAAAGACTGTGTTTACCCAATTGGAGATGCGTTTTGTTGTGGATTTCTTTAATCTCGGTATTGGGAAGTTCTCTGAACCTCCCTGCACCCTGGCCACAGATGGAAATTCTCTCTGCGCTGTGGAGGGAGACGCCTGGTCACTGCCACCTGGGCAGTGCCATCAGCCATGGCATCTTGATGACTTCCAGTCCAGCATAGTTAGTGTTAGCACATGTTACCTCTGGCTCTGGGAAAATCATTCGTGCATAACTACTTTCAGCTAAGCGGATGGTTGAAAAATAGTTGAGATGTTTTTGGTTGTGCCCAAATCAAGCCATCAGCGATACCGCGAAGTCACGTGTTCGCATCCAGGGAGCAAGCCTCCCCTCCCGGTTTTATCCCTCATGCTTCAAATTTGCTGATTCTTAAAATGACGCTGCGTGTTTTCGAGCCTGCTTCTGAGAGACGGGGAAAGTAATTCACTGTGCAGTAGGCTTTGAAATCCACTCGTTTTGACCACGTTAACAATATGATAAAGAAAGTTTGGACAGTAGAACGATTAGGCTTCTGTGAATGGGTTCAAGTTATGACTAGGAAGTTCTGTCCCTTAAAATACGTTTTATATTTTCTCTTTTGAACCACACGCTGTGTTAGGACAGACCGGAGACTTGGGCCAATGGCAAAAATGGTCTTCAATCTTTTAGAAAAGGGAAGAGAGAGATAGTAACCCAAGTTCGCTCTTACAGTATTTTCCCCCCTGAGCCAGCTGAAATAATACCTGCCTCCGAGTCCATTTAGCAAAGTATCTGAAATGGTCCTGCTCATCGGACTCATTGTTGAGTTCTGCGGCTTGGGGTGACAGGCAAGTTGAAAGAATTTGCGGCAGACAAAAGCCCAGCTCCCCCTTTCTGCCTGTATATGTCAAAGACACAGTTGGTGGTTGTGTTTGGGTCATGTGTTCCCTGTATAAAAACAGCTAATTAGGAAAAAGAGCCCTCTGTGCCCCGGCCCCCTCCCCTACACGCAGGGGCCGGCTCTATATATCTTATAACTCCCACACGGTGCCGGCCGCAGAGCGCGCTGCGGGGCTGGTGTGCCTGCCTAGCCGGCTGACCGCCACAATGGCGTGTGGACCCTCGCAGCCGTCCTGCGGGGGACTCTCACCTCTTCCCAGAACAGCCTCTTTCAAAGGTAGTTGCCTCCTTTCTTCTCCTTAATTCCTTTTCGCTCTTTTCTCCCTAATTCCCTTTCACTGAAAGTGCCTATGCTGTGAACTAAAGTAGCCAGACTTTTCTTTCTTTGCCGCCAGGCACGGTTTCTAGCAAAATTAGCGAAGGTGGGCAGCAGGCAGGGAACTTTCTGTCCTCGCAGACCTGAGCAGGTGACAGTTTCTATTAAATTTTTATGTTTCGTTTCACATCGGCTGCTCTGATTTCAGGCCCTAGGCCACCTGGTGCCCGAGTCAGTGTGGCCACCTTTACCTTCCACTCTAGGTTTTCCTCAAATACCCTTAGATTTCACTGCTAGGAAGGGCTGGGAGGCCACAGTGGTTCCCAAAAGTACTTGGACAGAAAAGGGTTTGAAAAGCAGCCCTGGATTTGACAGCCAAGGGGACAGGACTGCACACCGTTCCCCATGTTTTCACTGGCATGTGTTCTGCTTGGCGTTGAAGCCCCGCCACTTAGGCAGGGCCTGGGGGTTCATGAGGCCCTGGCTCCCAGACTGAATGCCCATGACGAAGTCTTCCAGATTGCTTTTCTGTGCTCACATGTCCTGGCCTGGCTCCCTCCCAGCACCACCATTGCCCAGAACCTGCTAACTGGCAGGATCTTGATGTTTGAAATGTCACTCAGGAGACAGAGAATAGGAGGCAGGAATCGCTCTCCTGTATTCAGGAGCAAAAGCAGAGACCCAGCGAGAACAGGGGGCTTGCCTGTGAATACACAGGGGAGGGGGCAGAGCACCTCTGGCACCTTCCCTTGCTGGAGCTAAGCCTCCCACCTCCACTAGCCCTCCTCAGTTGAATGCTACTCATAAAAGCGAAGTAGGCTCACTGAGGGCCTAGTTACACTAGACATAACACGAGGCATTGAATTCTCACAGGAGCTCTGTGAGGTCTACTGTCACTGCCCTCTGATTAATGGGCAAGGAAGCCACAGTGCAGCTGCACTGTGAGGCAAAATGCTGCCGTAATCATTATGAGGAATATTTAGGAGGCACGTGCTACCATTTCATTCTCTCATTGCCTCTACAAGGCAGATGATAATATGTATCTTGACACGGAAGTGAAAAGGAAGCTTGGAGAATTTTCTTGCTCAAGGTCAATATAGCAAAGTGGCAGAACTCTCTTTCAAAATAAAATTTGAATTTGAATTTGGCCACAGTCAAAAACCCAGGCTTTTTTTTAACTTGCCCCAATTGAGGCAAATACTTTGGGATCAGATGCAGGCCTCAAAGGGCTAGGCATATTTGTTTAATCCTCATTAATGTTTTATTAAAAATTTCACATTGATGGATTTTTAAAAATTTATGAGAGAAAAAAAGAGTGATTAACTATTATGAGCAATAAGAGATACCAGAAGATGAAATAATATGTTCTAAGTGTTGCGAACAAAGAAATGCCAACCATTATTTAAGAGTGAGGGTAAAGAGATATTCAATTATACAAAGACTAGGAGTTTGGCACCCTTGGCCCTTCACTTCCAAAAACTATTAAAGGAGACATTTCAGCAAGAACAAAAATGAAGCCTTACCTAAGGTCTGCAATACAAGAAACAACACTATGCTGGCTGCTGTTGCTGTGTAACAAATTTCCCCATTAGAACAGTCATTTTACTTTGCTCATGGATTCTGTGGTCAGGAATGCCACGGCCGGGGCGGGGGCCGGCTCTGCTCTCTGAAGTGTGAGAGCTTGGATGGAAGACTCAAAGGCTGGTGGTGAGTCAACAGCTAGAGGCTGGAACCTTCTGGAGGCTTCTGCACCCACACATCTGGGGCTGGACTGGGAGGATGTGTGAGACTAGGTCTGCCTATCTGGGACCCTTCAAGTGGCCTGTCCACACAGCCTGGTGGCCTCTGAACCCCTGAACTCTTGCACGTTGGCTCTGGGTTCTGCATGTGAGTGTCCAGTGGGGGCGAGGAGGCCACGTTGCCTTTGCGACCCCCTCTCTCACAGTACAATATCACTCCCTTCTTACAAGCCTGCTGAGATCGAAGGGGCTCGGCAAATCCAGCGGTCCAGAAATGGAATGTAGAGGAATTTGAGGACCACATTTAAGATGAGAGGAAATTTTAAATATGTAGACATATGTATTTGATTATTGCTTAAATAGTCATTTAAAAACTAATTTCTATATGTGTAAGAAAGGTAAAACCACATTTTAAGTAACAATGAACAGGGGATGGTACAAAGAGTATCTTCAGATGAAAAATTCCAAATAAAATGCCAGCAGATAGATTCGATTGGCCAAGTTTTGAATTTTGCCAGCAGATAGATTCATTGGCAAGTCTCACACGGAGTAAGTCTCATCAATAGGTTCTTGGAAATTGAGATTTTAAGCAAAATGATACACAAGGAAAGCACGATCTTGAAAGACATCATTTTGTTCAACAGCCACCAGGATTGTTTTTCTCAAAGAAAGAATGTTGAAAGAACATTGAAATGAACATGAAAGAACGTTGAATGAAACCCTGTAATTCAGGGACCTGGGGTGTGAGTGTGTGTGTGTGTGTGTGTGCCCTGCATTATAGCAACAGAAACTGAAATGTACCTACAAAATAACTGTAACAAAAAGTGTTTGAAAATCTTCAAGGAAAAAATGTTAAAGTATTGATACATCACACCCTGTATGTATTTGGTAAGGCTCAACATCCACATGTTGAAACCAATGTATAAATTCAGTGAAATTCCAGTATAACTTTGTTCCTTTGACTTTGATCATCTGAAGTTAATATCTATAGGGAACGCAGAAGGTCAGGAGTAGTAGACACTAGGAAGGCTAAAAATGACAAGGTGTAGGGACCTGCTTCCCTGATCTTCAGGTCTATAATGGAGTAAGACAACGTGATGTTGGGACTGTACTGGACAACTAGAGTGAGGAAAGAAAGCAGAGATGCCAAAGAAGGACAAAGCTTGTCTTCACGAGATCCTTGTTCCTTTGTTTATAAGACATGAGGATTGTAAGGATGGTTTCTGTGACAGAGATGGCATTAAATATCAGCTGGACAAGGATTTTTGTGTAATTAAAGTAAAATTAACTCCCTTCCCTACAACTTCTGAAAGGAAAATATTCATGGAAAAGTCCTTCTGGAAGAAAATAGCAGATGATATTTTCATGAGCTTGGCATAGGAAATTATTCCTTTTAAAAGACACAAAAAAAGGACAAATCATAAAGACAGTATTACCAAAATTGACTGTTTGCATTTTAAACTTCTCTTTAATAAGCCAATCATAAACAAAGCTGAAAAAAATTAAAACCCCAGAAAAAGGGAAGGTATTTTTGCAATGTGCTAACCCAGGATTAGTATCCAGAATACATAATTGATCCCTCTAAATAAATTTTTGAAAAAACATATCCCAAGAGAAACATGGTCAAAGAATGTGAATAAGAGATTCACAGAAGAGGGCATCTCTGTGTTCACCAATCACATGAGAAGATGCACATCTTTCTAGTAATTAGGATCATGCAAACTATAAGGTAGTATGTCACGCCGTGCAGGCTGGCAGATTACATTTCATACACTACCAACAGGAATGGAAGACAGTTTGATAAGCTACTTGGCACTGTCTGGCAAGACTGAAGATGCAGGTGTTTTTGGATCCAGCTATGGATTTCACTTCTGGCCCTCGACACAGGGAACCAGGTACAAAAAGCATTCACTAGAAGAGTATGCCCAGCAGAGGAAACTGTAAACAACCCGAAATCCATCGATCAGAGACTGATAAGTTGTGGCATGTCTATTTAATCTGTCAAAAGCAAGTTGCAGAATGCTCTGTGAATCTGACGCCATTCCCATCAAGTTTGAAAAGAGGAAACAATGCCATGTGTTATTGCTGGGTACATGAATATATGTAGCACGACTATGAAAATGCATGTGAACAGTCAATACCAAAGCAAAGGCTGTGATTATCTCAGGGAATGAATGCAGGATGCAGAGAAATGGGAATCAGTGAGGAAACTCAGGGCCTTCACTTTTATCTCCAATTAAAAATAATCTGATTCACCTACAGCAAAATGTGGACTGTAAAGCTGAATGGTGAATACACATGTTCTTTTTAAAATTCTCTAGACTTTGTATGAAAAATTCTGGTAAGAAAAACAAATGTTTTGATCCTATGAGAGGCCACCACCTGTCTTACAACAACAGTCTCCTTTTGTGTCTATCCTGATCGCTTTCTCCATAACAGGTTCTGATGATCACTAGCTCTGTGAATTTAGGCAAGTTATTTAAACTTCTGTGGCTTCTTTTCCCCCATGTACTAACTGAAGACAGTGATCACATCTTCTCCATAAGTGTTGTTGGGAAGTTAAAAGAACTTCGCTGGGCCTCCCCGGTGGCGCAGCGGTTGAGCGCTGGGTTGCGAAGCTGCCCGCGGCCTCTGAGGCGCTGGTTTGATCCCCGGCTGCTCCCCGGCCACCGGAGGAGGGTCCCACATGGCACACAGACCTCTCCTGCTGCCCGCTGCACCCCTCAGCAGTGTACTTTGGTCCTTCTGCCTGCCCTGCTCCCTGCTCCCTGCTCCCTGCTCTGGCTCTGGTGAATTTTCCCACCCTCCCGCGCTTCTGACTGTACCCAGTGCATGTATAAACAAAAACAAATAAATAAATAAATAAAAAAAACATGCCTCTAAAAAAAAAAAAAAGAACTTCGCACTGTCCATGTGGTAAGTGGTCAGTGCTTGCTCTTCCCATTCATTCACCTAACAAGTATTGAGCCTCTGCTGTGTGCTCAGAGTATAGAGCAGTGGGGGGAAGAGAGATATAAAGAAAAAAATCTCTGCATTTATGGAGGTTATGGTCTACTCTAGGGAGGTGTGTGATAAAGATCAATTATTTAAATATAAGGTGAATACGGTGATAAGGGCTAAGGAGAAATAAAGCCAGGAACGTTAGCTGTAAGTGCCTGCCTCGGGTCTGTCTGTCTTCAACAAAGTTCCTCTCCCTTCCCCTGCCTCCTCTCCTCTCCTCTGTATCTTCTTTGTTATTTTCCTTTCCTTTCTCCTGTTCGCACTGCTCCCATGGCCATGACATCCTGGCATGGAACTGCTTGTTGCCCAATAATCTAAATGATTGATTTCTGCTTAGTGAGGACACTGTTGTTTTTGTGGAGTCCGGGACTGAGCTTTTAAGTTCCCTTGTATGCAGGGAACTTAGCCTTGCATGGGTACAGAGCGGTAGCTGTACAAACGCTTGGTGTTCCGAAGGTGATCGAAAGTTACCAGCCCAATGGGGTGACTGGTCGGAGCCACTAACTCAGAGAGCTTGCGGCCCCGATCAACACTGCCCCTCGGCGCTGGCCTCTGAGCCCCTCGGGTGTTTCCCAGCAGTGTGGTCTCAGACGGGGCCCTTCACTTCCTCAGATCTTTGTTTCCTTACTGTTGAAATAGCAGGGTTGTATAAATAGATCATTTCCAGGGTGTCTGCCTGGGCTCAAGCTACTAGTCCAACCCCAAATTTATTACCTATTGTTTGACAGTGTTTTTCTTGCTATCCTTGTTGATTAGAACAGCATCTTAGCAAATAGTTCTTCATTTTAGAGACCCGCTTAAGTATTTGATGATTGCTACCTTCTTCGTCTCTGTGAACAAAAGAGTCATATCCTAGGATCTCAGAATATTTGCGGCAATGATAGTTACCATTTTCAAGCTCTGGTGCTTACTTTGCTTCATTATGGCTCTTCTGCCATGTGGGTTTCGCCACTCCTTTTGGAGAGCCCTGCTGCACAGTGACCGAAGCGCAACTTCACCACCAGTCTTGGGTTTGAGTCCTGGTTCTGCCCCTTAATAACTGTGCAGCACTGACCATCTGCTTTACCTCTCCAAGCCTCAGTTTGCGCCTTTTCCGATGGACAGTGTTACTCATCTCTGTGGCTGTGATGACTATTCAAGGCGATACTAAATCTCTAGGGGTTGATAGAGTGGTGGCCACAGAGCAAGTGAATGGCCGATTTTGCTTTTATCATTTACAAGGAATTTCTCCTCTGAGGTCCCAGTTTTCGAGTGGCCACGCTGGATCTTGAGCCGGGGAATCTGATCCAGCTCCCACGCTGTCACCCACAACGCTGTGCCTCCTCAGTGGGTCGCAGGGCCCACTTGAAAGTGGATATGAAGTCTAGTTTGGAGCCTGCACTTCAGAGTGACTCGGCGAAACCTGAGCCTTGCTGAATGTCACATGGGATTGAAGCACTGACACACTCGCCTGGGGTAGAGCTAGAATGTGAATAAAGTGCAGTACTCGTGACCTTGGCCTTGACCTCGGTGGGCACAAGGATGGGGGTTTGCGACAGGCCCTCTAGAGAGAGGGGGCACAGGAGTCGATGCACATGGCCTGCTGGGCATCCACATCAATAAAGGGTGACGCAGTGAGGGGCCCGCAGACGGTGTGTGTGGGAGAGCTCAGAAGCCTCTGGACGACAGACTGCTCTGTGGGTGCCTGCTGTGATGGTGTCACGCAGACATGATTGAGCAGGGGGAAGATTCGCTTACCACCGTGCTCACAGCCCTTGCCTTGTGACGGGCACTCTCTGTAGAGAAGAGCCGCCTCTGACCACGAGGAGATGGGCTCGGCGGGGGAGGGGCGTCTGGGGTGTGGTGCAGCCTGGCCTGTGCGCCAGCCAGAGGGGGGCACTGCCTCCCCTCAGCTCACCTTCTGTCTGGGCCTTCTCTTCCCAGGGTCTTTCCACCTAATTCACCTGATGTTTGATGACTACGTGCTCTACCTGCTGGAGTCCCTGCACTGCCAGGAGAGGGCCAACGAGCTAATGCGGGCCATGAAGGGAGAGGGGAGTGCTGGTAAGCCCGCTGGGGCTGGCTGGGAATCGCCCACATGCCACGTTGGCCCGTGCCCTTGCCGGTGCGCTGCGTCTCTACCTCTGCATGCCAAGGGGTCAGTCATGGCGCCCCCGTCGTGGTGTGAGCCCAGCACTGCCTCGTCCTCTGTGGAGAGTGTCGGTGACTGGGAGCCTCGAGGGCTTTGGGCCGGGGCGGGGCGGGGCCTTGCACACGCTGGGAAGGGCACCTCGTTTTCCAAAGACAACTGGCTTTGACCTTTGGCTCTGAGAAACGCTCCCTTTCTCTCCCCACAGCAGAAGTCCAAGAGGAGATCATCTTGACGGAGGCTGCCCCGCCCACCCCTTCGCCAGTGCCCTCGTTTTCTCCAGCCAAGTCGGCCACGTCTGTGGAAGTGCCGCCTCCCACCTCCCCTGTCAGCAACCCATCCCCTGAGTACACTGGCCTCAGCACTACAGGTAATGAAAGGCTGGCGTGTTCAATGGGTGTCGATGTTTACATGAAGAGCTTTCTGGAGGAGCAGTCTTCCCGCTCGCTCCCCCCAGAACAATGTCAAAACCTGAGTATCTTCCTGGATTTATGGAAGATTTACAGCTGTTGGTCTGTTCGATTGTACGTGGGCCTCACGACTGCGTTTTGAAGTTGGCAGATAAAATCTCCACGCCCAAAACTAAGCTGCGGGAAGATTAAAATGATAAAAAACATAAACTAATGAGGAACTTCGTTCTTCAAGTCTTCACTCTCCCTCCACTCCTCATTAGTTAGGACAGGCTAAGCGGCTGTGGCAAGTAGATCCACACGTGTGGAGTCAATGCAGTAGAAATGTAGCTCGTGTCTAGTCCTGGCTGGACGTTTGGGTTAGAAGGAGGCCCTCGCTCACACAATCATCTGGAAACACGTGTTCCTTCAATATTAGGCTCCAGCCTATCCCGGGGCAACGGTTCTCAAAATGTGGCCCGTGGACCAGCGGTGTTAGCATTTCCTGGCAGCTTGTTGGAAGTGGTCATTATTGGGTTCCATCGCAGGCCAACCGAGCCACACTCTAGGGTGGGGCCCCACGATCTTGATCAACAAGCCTGTGGTGATTCTGATGCTCCCGGGTTGGAGGGCCCCTCTCCTAGGGCGTTGGCAAGCCTACCACCAGCTGACGGGGCTGGAAGGCAGGCATGGAGGAGGAAAAGCCCACGCTCTTCAAAGCCCCAGAGTGCCGGTGACACGCGTCACTTTCACGTGCACTGTCAGCGAGGGCTCAGCGCCGTGGCCTCCGGTAACTGCAAGAGAGGCTGGTGTGTCCCTGGCTAGTGTGTCCCTCACTAGAGAAGCCAGGACAGATTTGGGGGCGAGAGCTGACTTTCTCCACCACAGCCCCAGTTGTTCGAACACAAATTTCCCCAACCCCTTCCTTCCCGTCCCATTACTGCCACCTGGTTCAGGCCTTCCCACCTCCCACGGATGTGGCCAGGAGGGCGAGACAGCCCCACTCAGTGTCGTCTCATACCCGTTCCTTCCCTCGCACGGCCGTCCACTTCTCCAGCCCCTTAGCCAATGACTGGTTTCTCTAGTGGCCACACGGTGCCTGGTACTTCAGAGAGCTGCTGATTCGAGCTAAAGAATCCATGCCCCTGAGCGTTTCATTGTTTCCAGGTTAGGGTCCTGATGCGCAAGTTGGTGGTCACAATACAATGTGTTGAGACTAAGTTGGGAGAAGGTCAGTGTGTTAGGGGAGCACAGGAGGGGGCTCTGACCTGTATTTGGAGGTTCTGGGAGGCTGAATAATGAGAGATGGTATTCTGGGCAGAGGCGGTAAGTAGAGGAGGTAACCTGGAGAGAAAGCCTGTCATCTTCAGGGATGTGTGTACCCCAGGAGTCTTTTGATTAACTCCTTCCATACAGTGTCCGCTCTCTCCAGAACTAGACCTCCTCGGATAGGGGTGAGCACAAGCTTAGGAGCCCGTATAAGGTATCTGCTCTCTCTGTGCTTTGCCAGGGCCAGCAAACGCAGGTGCCCTTTGTCAGAGGCTGCTAAGGAGGCAAACTCTTCAGAGCACTGAAATGTAGAGTTGTCTGAAACTGGCATTAGTTGGAGCTTTGACTGCATGGTGGGCACTCAGCTACAGAGTCCTCCTCCTCTCTGGAAGTCTGGACTTGAGCGCCACTGTCTTTTTTTGTCCTAGGCGCACCCCAAATCATGTTTTGCTCTCCAGTTTGAGAAGGAAGGAGAGACCCGGTCCCATCTCCCTCCCATTTTCTCTCTACTGGGTTGTTGTAGTTACTGCTTGGAAGGCTCTGGAAGAAAAATTATAGAGAAAGAAAAGGACACCTTTGTTCACTGAAAATAAAATGGGGAGAGAACTAGAGCGTTCTTCACCTCTCTTCAGCTGCTCAGGGGTTTTTCTGAGACTGGAGTTACGGGGCAGCTGTCCCAAGTCTCCTGCCTGTCTCAGGAAGGGACGAGAGTAGCCAGAGCACCACCAACCCAGGAGACACACAGTCAGTCAGTCAGTCAGTGATAACATCCTTACTTCTAGAGTAAACAGGGAAATCATGTTCTGCATTATGAAGCAGAAACTATTTGAGTGGAACGTTTCTTGTAGTGTAGCCACATATCAAACAAGGAGACAGAGGAACTGAGGGTCTGGGAGGAGTGTGCAGGGAGGATCTCTGGCATCTCTTCATCCTTCCCACCCAGCTCGTACATCTGCCCGGCTTCCTCTGTGTAACCTGGAGGCTATGGCAGGTGTGACCGCCAGAGCCCTGCACTATCACAAGTGCATGTGGAGGTTTCTGTGCAATGTGTTGCAGGGTCATAAAAGTAGCTTCTTAGAAATACAAATGTGAAACAGGTTCCCTTCAGATGACTGTAACCTTTGAAGATTTTGGCACATTCCAGCTTTGTTCTCAGCTATCTCCAGGGGGCATTAAAAATGTCATCCTATGTAAAACTATGTGTAATATTTTTCTCAAGTGCTACTTTTGAAATTCTCCATTGCTAAATTAGACTGGATCTTGGCATGCATTGTGGGTCACACTCTTGGGGGAACAAACACAATTTCCTAACAACATGTATGGTTTTATAGCTATTGCATTATAAAGCACAAATTATTTGTCCAAGATATTAGACATTCTATCATGGAAGGCTTCTTTGGTTTGGGAATTTGTGAGACTTTTTACTGAACAGTATTACAAATTGGAAAAAAAATTATTATACATCTTATAAAAGCCACTCGCTATATTTTTTTTCTGTTAACCAAGCATATGGTTTTTTTCAATGCCCAGTAAATTTTTATTTCCATCTTTAAATTATTGCTTAATTTATATACCACCACTTTCCAAAAAGTACCTGAAGTGGTTAACAATTTAAAAGAAAACCCAAATGAGAAAGTGAAAAATAAAGAAGTGGGAACAATCAAACAAAACAAAACAGCTCTTGGCTAAAGCACTTTATTACTACCTTAAATGAGATTTGGTGTGATCTTGTTACGTTGTTGGGCTGTGAGCTAATTCTCTGAACATCATTGACTAAATGATGTGTGTATTATCAGGTTCAACTTATTGAGTGTCAAGGCCGATGAGGTTTCTGTAACTCTTCCACAAATCAATGTCTCACTTGGGATGGACACTTCCCCATTTTTTTCAGCTATAGAAAGGAGAACAGTGTTATGTGTGGTTGGTGAGCACAAAGGGAAAATTAACCCACTGCACATAACCTTTAGGCTTCCTTTGCTACCAGGACTGCTGAATACAGAGCACTATAGATACTGAGTTATGACTCACTAGGCAAAGAGCTGCTTTGCCTGTCCACATCTCTCTCGGTGTCTATGTCCACACCTGTCTGTACTTCTAAGTACATTTTCTTGCAACTGTCTTTATTAAGTTTTTCAAGTGGGGGGGGGGTTGGCAAGGAGAGTGAATGGAAAGGAATCAGGGACCTGAAATGGAACCTGTTGCATGGCCAACGTGGACTGGATGGGTCTATGGCAGTGGCATGGTAAGAGACTGGTCAAAGATGCCGTTTTAGCAGATTTCTACGAGGTAAAACCTAGCCCATCTATCTTTTGCTTCCCCCTAACTTTGTAGACTTGCCAGGTCCCTCCGGGCCCAGCAAAGTTGAGAAAACTTAACTTCCTTTAAGGAAAACTGGCTCTTCTTCCTCTTCAGGAGCATGGCAGGTGATGCTAAGCTGACCAGCCCACTTAACACAACATCGGGCTGCAGTTCTTTAAAGGCGTTTAAAGCAAAATGTGAAGTTCCCCACCCTGTCCTGGTCAGGCCACCAAAGGGTGCTGAGACCTCGTTCGTTTATGATGTCATTTTCAGTATTCCCTCCTTTAGCAATGACAATAAAAGTTAACTATTAAACCCATGTTTTCAACTTCCCACCATGGGTTCCCTACAAACACAAAACCAGCAGATTAAATCATTGAGATGCTGGGATGCCTCATGAAATAAAGGCAAATTCACCATAAATGGCCCTAGCCGTAGAACATCTGGCCAGCCCAGCTGCGTTTTCTCTGCATCAGTTGAGGGCGTAACAAAGACAACTGGCATCTACTCTTTCCAAATAACAAAGGCTCAGTTCTCCTCGGGGCAGCTAAACCGAGTGGGACATGGCAGACGGGGTGGCCCATGATGACTCATTTAAAGACCCTCAGAGTCGCCCCACCAGTGAAATTCCGCCTCCCCTATCCCCACTGTTTCTCTTTCTTTCAAGGAAAGGGATTAGGAAATATAAGCTGTGGTTGAAATAGTCTGTTTAATCTACTCTTGCGTTTATACCAACAAGGTCTTGGCTTGGTGTCGGGGCCTTTGGACTGACGCATTCATTTCCTTATTCATTCATTCAACAAATACGTATTCCTGTGCCATCCCCTGGGAGCACGGAAGTCGGGGGGCAGGGGAAACAGAGTCACAGTCCCCATGTTATTTACATGCTAGTGGGGTAAGAGTTGTCATGAAGTAAAGCATCAAGTAAAGTCGCCATGTCAGATGGTCCTGAGTGCTGGCAGTGAAGATGACAATGCACTGTGTGGGCCTCGGACACCCCCTTGGGCATGTCCGGGGAAGGCCTCTCTGAGGAGGTGCCACCTGTGTGAGACTGGAAGTCTCACAAGGAGCCAGCACATAAAGGTTGGGGGTAGGAAAAGAACATTTCAGGTGTTGAGGGACAGCACGTGCACAGGCCCGAGGCAAAGAAGAGCCTGGCGCAGTAAGCCGCTGGCCAGTGGATATAAAGAAGGAAGCCAGTGACTGGAAGAGGAAGCTGCAGAGGGTGAGGAGCCAGACCGTGAATCAACATTCTGCTCTGGGAACCCATGCATTTGCTGCCCCTGGTTGGTTTTATCTATCAGATTTTGGCCATGGAACTTGGCGTGGTAACGCGCAGATCAGACGAGGATGTCAGCTTCAGCGAGGATTGCCCAGCAGCACAAAGGCCTTCAGGAGAGATGATAGCTGGGAT